GAACATAGAAATGGGCTCGATTAAGTCCATCTGCTTTTTCTTTCAACATTCCCTGCTATCGGTGTGTGAAATTATGAAGCTAATAGCTACCCAAGTAACGGGAACATTGACCAGTGACCTCACATCAGTTGCACGTGTTTTGCTAAACAAGACTGATATTCAAGCACGAGCGGCTGCTACGGTCCTTGAAGTATTGCCATGCACCTCCCTTGACAATGATTCATATCGGCTTCTGCAAAGTAATGGCGCAGGATGCACTGAATTTCCGTCCACTGAATTTATTCTTTTCGGGCAATCGTATCAAGGATTCCTCGATACACGAACAATGATAACAGCTGAAACATCCAGAACAATGCCTTGTAAATTAAAGCGATACCGATGGAGACACGGTGCCAGCTTTATGCTCTTGATCAAGTGACGGGAATGATGCGGAAGATACCTCTGGGAAACATTGCAGTGCTCCAAAGCAACTCCCCGCGTGAGCTGATTACTTCGATTTCAGATACAACATTTCATACTTTAACCATCACAAACTTTACTGAGGCATTTCCACCTTATCATCTGGATATGACTGCAAAAATGCAGGCGCTAGATAAGCAGATAACTTCTCACGATGTTAGAGAAAGCAGCAATAGAGAACAACTCCTGTTACATCGAAGTTTTCTGAGTGTCCAGTTGAAGTCCATGATAAAAAGACCTTGGGTGGGCTTGCACGTTACCGCTAAACTTGTGCTGCTTTTTTCCTTGCGCGTTTGCTTTCCAAATTTAGCTGTACTCATTGATAGGTTGAAAGAGTTAGACAGTTCAGCCATCTGGTACTGGGCCTTAAGGAGTCGAACAACCCCACCCCTGCTACCGGTACAAGGTAACATCATACAGATGCAAGAGCCTACCGAACAGCATGAACAGGCGATGCAGTGGCCATCACGCACACGTGGATTGGATCCATCGGTTGCCGAAGTGGCATCAAACAAAACTGACTAACTGCAGTAATTAAGAGCATCATTAATTCTCGTACGGGCGTATGAAAGTTTCTGTGGAAAAATTACTAATTTGGGAACCGGAAAAGCTAGGAAGCTGAAATTTTACGGGAATGTTCCCTGTCCAAGTACAACTTAAGTACTTCAAATTCAGTCTTGACGTATGCGTGTTTCTTACGTACGGGCACTTAAAAGTTTTGGCCAAAAAATTTCTCACTGATCAGCTAGGCTACTTTTAAAGAACGACCATTACTAAATGGAAATTGCACATTTATTTCACGTGAAATTTGCGGTGATTTATGCCAGTGACCGCAAAAGGTGAGTGTAAAGCAACAACCATTCATGCGGTTATTGACCTGAGTACATCAAGTCCGGTGCAAAAACACGTGATCGCACGGGTCCGCCTGGTGCATTCCAGGCTGCGTTGCGTATTGTGCAAGTCGCAAAAACGCATATTGGCATGAGGCTGTGTGTCTGTGTATTTGCACTTTTTGTCACCCACTTTCAATCGAGAACCAGAAAAGCTAGAAGGCTAAAACTTTGGGAATTACGCGTTCACACCATGCGCAACCCACATCGCCCGCCTACGCCTGGGTGCCGCGTATGGACGTCTTGAAGAAATATGCAGATTTTTTGACGGGAAAGCGATCTCGGGAACCAGACAAGGCAGGGGGTTGAAACTTTGCTGAGATATCTATCCCCTGTGCCTGTGTGAGCTAAAGATTTTCTCCGCAAGATTTTCCCAGAGATAATTCCAGAAAAGCTAGAACGCTGAAATTTTAGGGGGGTTTCCTTGTTCAAGTACAACTTAAATACTTCAAATTCAGCCCTCAGGTAAGCCTGCTTCTCGCATACCAGCACGTGAAGGATTTGGCGGGAGAATTGCCAAGTCGCTAACCAGAAAAGCTGGAAGGCTGAAATTTTTGGGAGGGGTGTTCCCCGTATATGCAATTTAAAGATTTCAATTTCAGCTTTCCAGAAACGTGCAGCACCCACCTACGAACATGTGAAGGCTTCAGCCGGAAAATGACACCCAAGATCAACCTGACCGCTACAGTCGGCTTACTAGGAAACCAGAAAAGTTAGTAAGCTGAAATTTTAGGGGAATGTTCCTCCTCAAATAGAACTTAAAATTCACCTTCCAGGTATGCGTGGTTCGCACGTATGGGCATTTAGAATTTATGGTGGGAAAATTGCTCACCGAACTGCTATGTTACTTTTGAAGAACGATTGCTAAATGCAAATTGTTCATTTACTTTATACAAAATCTATGGTAATTTACGCTAGTGAGCGCAAAAGCTAGGTGCACAACAACAACCATTCATGCAGTTAATGACCTGTGTATTTCAAGACTGATGCAAAAACGCATGATCGTACCGGCAAGTCTGGGGCGTTCCAACCTTGTTGCCTGAGTTCCACGCCCCATTTTCAGAGCTGGAAGTACACATACACATAACACACCCAGACACATGCAACACACCCAGACAGACACATCCAACACACCCAGACAGATATACGCAAAAAAAACACAAATATAAACGAACACACATGCAACATACATATACAAATACAGACATTCATACAGTATATTTATGAATTCCTGACAATAATGTTTTTTATTGACGAAAAAATGGTATAAAATTTTCAAACATAAGATGCGAATCTGCGCAATTGCGAGGTCTGTATAAAAACGGAAACAAAAGAGTGAAGAGATATAAAATGACGTTAAAGAGATTGATAAAATACCCGTAAACGCGAGCACAGTAATCCTGATGATAAGCAACGTGAAGAGGGCATGTTGAGCAGCAAATAAAGAGAAAGGCAAAGAAATTTAGTAAAACTCAGCAAATGAGAGCAATAAAGCTACAAAATGAAACAACGAATGCGGACCTCCTCAAGCATATTCGATATCAGCGGACAAATAATCGTGTAATTTGAACCAGCGAAATTTCAGGACAACGAGTTCAAAATTCACCAATAAAAAGATACGATATCTGATAAAGACGTAATAATCAAAACAAAAAGAGATAAGCTGTTGCGCAATTTGAATAAGACTGAACGCAGAAGTAATAATAATGAAAGTGGCCTTTGACTGCGAAATGCTGTATTTCGATTCTGGAGTGGCATCTAGATATACCGTGCAGACAGCAGTTGTTTCCCAAGTTAAAGCAAAATCCTACTAAGTTAGTAGCCACTATCTTCTGAAGAATGCACGCGAGTTAGCGTAATTATGCACAACGATTTCTGGATATGAAGAAGACCCTCCACAGTACTGCATTCGTTGTGTGGAAGATCCGACGCAAACAGAATTTCTGGATGCGAAAGCAGGTGATCAGTCAGACGCGCTCAAAAACCAGCTGCCAGTCAAAAACAAAAAAGGCATTTCCGCTCATTTAGCAAAATTTTTCTGCAAGACACATAGCTGGAAAAGTCAAATGTAAAAACAAACCAGCGAAAAATGCAAAAAAAAACCCCCAAAAACATCGCGCGCCAAGTGTTTACTCCTTGCAAGCACGAATTCATTCTGTTGCATTTTTCTGCATTTCATGCGGCTGTCACGGCCCAAGTCCTGCACTGTCTCGCCCATCTCCTAACTGAGCGCCTACACATGCAATTTCCAAGTCCCCAATGGTCGGAAGTTGGGACAATTATACAGCTCAAAAGACAACTAATAATATCACAGTCAAAGGGTACAGTCAACGCACGGAACAAATCAGAAGTCAGTTGAAGGAACGCCAGCTTCATCTAATGCGCCCAGCGTCGGACGAAATTTTGTTCTCGAGCTGGAACGAGAGGAACTGCGTCCAGCAGACGAACCACTGCTATCATTTGTACTTAAGCCTTGCGATGACGCTTCCTGCAAAAACAGTCCTGATGTCTAAGACGCGAAAATAATTCAGCACAGAATCAGCATAGAGGCGTAAAACCGATGTCATTTTCCCGTGCCATGCTAATTCACTGAAAATTTCTCTC